CTTGGTTGAACTTACTGCTGCCAACAAGATGGTTTCCAGAAGGTGAAAGCCCCCTCACTCGCTGTCTTGCCAGCATGATGCTGAAGAGGGTATACTACTAACATGTGGAACAGTACATTAGAAATCTTATGTCACAATTCCTTTTGCGTCTCTTTTCTCTCTTTAAAGAACTTGGTTTTGGCCCTGGACCGGTGTAGGTTTGTGTGTCTGTATAAAAAAAGAAAGTAAAAAATAAACTCTTCTGGCCACCTCGGTAAAGTCATGTTCCAGGTACTTCGTCTGGGAAGTTTTTGAGATGCCGAGCTAACAATTTGTCACACTTGTTGCACTTTATTAAATTTGAATTCTATTTGTTTCAGTGACAAATGTTTGTTTTAATGAATTGAATTTGATATTGTTGTCTCTGGTGCACACCCGGTTCTTTTGCGCCATCACTCCAATGTGCTTTTCAACTACAAATCTGATTGAGGAACCCCTCTGCTTGCTAATTTACTCATACTTTTCACCCACTTTTTCAGCTTTTATTTAAATTTATGTTTATAACTATCCATCCATCCATCCATCCATTTTCTTCCGCTTTATCCGTTGCCGGGTCGGGGGGGCAGCAGTCTAAGCAGAGACACCCAGACTTCCCTATCCACACACACTTCCTCCAGCTCGTCTGGGGAGACCCCAAGGCATTCCCAGGCCAGCTGAGAGACATAGTCCCTCCAGCGTGTCCTAGGTCTTCCGCGAGGCCTCCTCCCGGTGGGACGTGCCCGGAACACCTCCCCAAGGAGGTGTCCAGGAGGCATCCGGAACAGATGCCCGAGCCACCTCAACTGGTTCCTCTTGGAGAAGCAGCGGCTCTACTCCGAGCTCCTCCCGTGTGACTGAGCTCCTCACCCTATCTCTAAGGGAGCGCCCAGCCACTCTGCGGAGGTAGCTCATTTCGACCGCTTGTATCCGCGATCTCGTTCTTTCGGTCATTACCCAAAGCTCATGACCATAGGTGAGGGAGGGAACGAAGATTGACCGGTAAATCGAGAGCTTTGCCTTTCGGCTCAGCTCCCTCTTTACCACAACGGTCCGATACAGCGACCGCATCACTGCGCACGCTGCACCGATCCGCCTGTCAATCTCACGCTCCATTCTTCCCTCACTCGTGAACAAGACCCCGAGATACTTGAACTCCTCCACTTGAGGAAGGACCTCTCCACCCACCTGTAGAGGGCAAGGCACCTTTTTCCGGTCGAGCACCATGGCCTCGGATTTGGAGGTGCTGATTCTCATCCCAGCTGCTTCACACTCGGCTGCAAACCGCCCCAGTGCATGCTGCAGGTCCTGGTTCGTTGGAGCCAACAGGACAACATCGTCCGCAAACAGCAGAGATGAAATCCTTTGGTCTCCGAACCGGACCCCCTCCAACCCCTGGCTGCGCCTAGAAATTCTGTCCATAAATACAGTGAACAGAACCGGTGACAAAGGGCAGCCCTGTCGGAGGCCAACATTCACCGGGAACAGGTCTGACTTACTGCCGGAAATGCGAACACAGCTCTGGCTCCGGTCATACAGGGATCGGATGGCCCTCAGCAGAGGACCTCCGACCCCGTACTCCCGGAGAACCCCCCAAAGGACACCCCGAGGAACACAGTCGAACGCCTTCTCCAAATCCACAAAGCACATGTGGACAGGTTGGGCGAACTCCCATGAACCCTCGAGTATCCGATGGAGAGTATAGAGCTGGTCCAGTGTTCCGCGACCGGGACGAAAACCACACTGCTCCTCCTGGATCCGAGATTCGACCATCGGCCGTAGCCTCCTCTCCAGTACCTTGGAGTAGACCTTACCGGGGAGGCTGAGGAGTGTGATCCCACGATAATTGGAACACATCCTCCGGTCCCCCTTCTTGTAGAGAGGGACCACCACCCCGGTCTGCCACTCCATTGGCACCGCCCCCGATCGCCACACGATGTTGCAGAGACGTGTCAGCCAAGACAGTCCTACAACATCCAGAGACTTTAGACAATCAGGGCGGATCTCATCCACACCCGGAGCTTTGCCACCATGGAGGCTGCCAACCACCTTGGTGACCTCAGCCAGGGAGATGGATGTATCCGCCCCAACATCCTCAGCCTCTGCCTCTGTAACCGAGGACGTGACGGGGGGATTGAGGAGAACCTCAAAGTATTCCTTCCACCGCCTGACAATATCCCCAGTCGAGGTCAGCAGCTCTCCACATGGTACATGGTGTTGGCAAAGAACTGCTTCCCCCTCCTGAGGCGCCGGATGGTTTGCCAGAATCTCTTCGAGGCCGACCGATAGTCATGCTCCATGGACTCTCCGAACTCCTCCCAGTCCCGGGTTTTTGCCTCTGCAACAGCCCGGGCCGCGGCACGCTTGGCCTGCCGGTACTGGACAGCTGCCTCAGGAGTCCCCCGAACCATCATGGCTCGATAGGACTCCTTCTTCAGCCTGACAGCATCCCTTACTGCCGGTGTCCACCACCGGGTTCGGGGGTTGCCGCCGGGACCAGCACCAGAGACCTTGCGACCACAGCTACGAGCCGCCGCATTGGCGATTGAGGCAGAGAATATGGTCCACTCGGACTCCATGTCACCCTCCTCCGCCGGGACCTGGGAGAAACTCTCCCGGAGGTGTGAGTTGAAAGTCCGTCTGACAGGGGGCTCAGCGAGACGTTCCCAGCAGACCCTCACTATACGCTTGGGTCTGCCAGGTCTGACCGGCTTCTTCCCCTGCCAGCGGATCCAACTCACGACCAGGTGATGATCGGTTGACAGCTCCGCCCCTCTCTTTACCCGAGTGTCCGAGACACGCGGTCGAAGGTCAGATGATACGACAACAAAGTCGATCGACCTCCGGCCTAGGGTGTCCTGGTGCCACGTGCACTGGTGAACACCCTTGTGCTCGAACATGGTGTTCGTGATGGACAAACTGTGACTGGCACAGAAGTCCAACAACTGAACACCGCTCGGGTTCAGATCAGGGGGGCCGTTCTTCCCGATCACCCCTCTCCAAATGTCACTGGCGTTTCCCACATGGGCGTTGAAGTCCCCCAGGAGAATAACTGAGTCCCGGGCGGTGCACCGTCCAGTACCCCTCCCAAGGACTCCAAGAAGGCCGGGTACTCTGCACTGCTGTTAGGCCCGTAGGCCGTCACAACAATGAGAGACTTGTCCCCCACCCGGAGGCGGAGGGACGCGACCCTCTCATTCACCGGGGAGAACTCCAACACGTGGCGGCTGAGATGGGGGGCAATGAGAATGGCCACCCCAGCTCGCCGCCTCTCCCCGCGGGAAACTCCAGAAAAGTGGAGCGTCCAACCCCTCTCAAGGAGTTGGGTTCCAGAGCCCAAGCTGTGTGTGGAGGTGAGGCCGACTATCTCTAGTCGGTATCACTCAACTTCCCCCACGAGCTCGGGCTCCTTCCCCCCCAGTGAGGTGACGTTCCGCCACCACGGACCCCTCTGCAGGTGGTGGGCCCACAGGAGGGACTGCCCACGTCATCCCTTCGGGCTGAGCCCGACCGGGCCCCGTGGGCTAAGGCCCGGCCACCAGGCGCTCGCATACGAGCCCCGAGCCCCGACCCCAGGCCTGGCTGCAGGGTGGGGCCCCGGCTGCGCCATGCCGGGCGACGTCACTGTTCTATTTATCGTGCTGTCCATGGTGGTTTTTGGACCGCTCTTCGTCTGACTCGTCACCTGTCTGCAATGGGAGGCCCTACCAGGGGCATGAAGCCCCAGACAGCATAGCTCCCAGGATCATCCGAGTACTCAAACTCCCCCACCACGTTAAGGTGGCAGTCCAGGGGGGGAGGTTTATAACTATATTGAATAAAATAAGTAAATCTTTCACTTGACAGTTGTATGTTCATTTGTTTGTGGCTGTTAAAAATAACTAAACAATCCAGAATAAAATATTGGTCTGTGTTGGTAAAAATAACAAAATGTGCCAATGTTCAAGTTGTGTGTGTTATTATGTCATCATTTCTCTTTTGGGATAGTTTTAACCAGTGGGGGCGGGTCCCAGCTCAAAAGTGGCCAAAATGACGTGCGCTGACATGCTTGCAATACCACCCCGGGCCGATGGGGGTGGACCCGGAATAAGAATTAGCCAATTCTAACATATAGCATCTTCCTACCTCTCAAAAACGTCTTTACAGGATGGTCCAAAAGTTGGCTCTTGGCCCAAAGCTCAGTTCCACATGTGTGTCAATGCTGAGGGGGGTGAATTTTTTTTTCGTTTCTTGTTCAAATGAATGGAGCTGCGCCGGCTGACGCAGATGCGTTTTTTCACAATTTTCTTGTGGGCGGGACCACTCGCGGCCATTTTGGATAGCTCCAGTAGAGCACATTTTTTGGCCCATTAGTTGGAACGGCAGAGATAGGCGTGACTCTGTCCGTTAATATATACAGTCTATGGTTTTAACACAGAAGACAAGATTTGGGCGGGAGCTTGAGGGTGGTATGAATAACACACAGAATTCACTTTAAATGCAGTGGAAACATTTATTTAGAATTAAACATAATTAATAATGAAAAAAATGTGTTGAATCAAAACTTTTCATTTACCAAAAAGAACAATAATATTTATGTAAAAATAGAGAGTTTTGTTTTTATCCGAAGTTGAATAAGAAAAAGGTTTTACGGTTTTAATCCATAGTTCAAGGATATCAAAAGGAGGGAATGAATCTATCTCACCAGCTCGTCATCATTTCACTGAGAGATCAGTTCAATGGGTAGTCAGTCACTGAAGCTTCATGATCAGTCCATGGGATGAACAAACAAACCTGACTGATGATCCTACATAATGCCCCTTTTCAGGACTTGGTGTATTGTGTTGCCATATCAATTAAGTGCCTCCAAATAAAATACTAAACACTAAAACAAAAGAGAGATGGAGGCGTGTCAGAGCCGTGTCAGAGCTATCTCATTTGATGAACGAATATTATTTTACAAGTATGCTTGCTAACGTTTATGCAATTTCTATGTTTATTTACAGGTGGAGCGAATTGTTGACAAGAGGCGGAACAAAAAGGGCAAGTGGGAATACCTGATCAGGTGGAAAGGCTATGGGAGTAAAGAGGACACTTGGGAACCAGAGCACCATCTTCTTCACTGTGAGGAGTTTATCGATCAATTTAACGGTTTGACGATAGACTCGCAAAAACAACCAAAATCATCCAAAATTCATCTCCATCATTCCACCCCAAAGGAAAACTCTAGAGCTCAATCTGAAACTAAAAAGACCAAAAGGACTAGTGCATCCCTTTTGAGAGTGGGGACTGTTCTGGACATTGGCAGGGCTGCTGGTCGCGCTCACAAACAGAAAAGGGTAGGTATAATGAGTGGAAAGCATCCTTTAGGAGATAGACTCAACAAAAGCATTGCATGCAAAGCGCCCCCTGGTCCTGGGCTGCCTCCTGCTCCCCCAGAGCAGATGGTCCAGCGTGGTCAGAATGGACTCGAAAACGGAAACATGGAGCCCGTACTGTACAGAGCAGCAACACGACCACAGAGACCACCTCCAGCGAGGCGACACACAGACATGACCCAGCCAGAGTTTCCCAGTGAACTCGGTATGTATGGATGTTAATGGTATCTATTTTTGCTTGCAGTCGCTCTGCTGCAGGGGTGTCAAACCGGTCCCAGTAAGGGCCAGTGTGGCTGCAAGCTGATTTATCTGCATGTGTTACTTTTTGTCTTTTTAGTTTTTTTCTTGCACTAACATGTTACTCTGCCTTAAAAAAAAAAAAAAAAAGTCAAGTATTTCCCATAAATTAGTTTGGGTAATCTCTCAGGTGAAATAACGTTCTGTACAATGGCATGGCTGTGTTTGCTGCTGATAATTTTCACACAAAAAATCAACTCCCTCTGGTGGTAGCATAGAGAGCTACAGGTAGCACTTTGAGGTTGCCTGGAAATGTAAGGTGCCATATGAATAACATTTTATATCATTTATTATTATTTTGAGATACATGAGTTTTTATCATTAAGGTTAAGGTATAGACCTACTTAATTGTGAATGAAAGATGTCCATTCATCCATTTTCTTCCCCTTAATCCCTTTCTGGGTTGGGGATGGCAGTCAGAGCTGCACCCAATTCACAGAGCACCAACCCCTCACTGAGGAGGTGAGTCCACAGGAGGATGGTTCCTGTCAGTGACAACACAGCCTTGATCTTTCAGTGAGTGCTTCAGGCAAAGTGGGGTTAAGTGTCCTACTGTCGTTGTGCCCAAGTACACAACGACAGCAGACATCAGTGGGAGTGGGTGGAGAAGAACAAAAAACATTTACTTGTGTATTGGTGTCTTTGAGAAACTGCTATTATTTTTGTTTTGATTACCTATGATTTAAGAGTAAAATTACAACAATCTAACTTTTTGTTTAGTTTACTTTCCACAAAACTTTCTTAATGCATATTGAATATATGTTTTTAATTGTAGTGAAAAAAACAGATGTTTGTGTTCTCTCATCTCTCATCTCTTATAGCTGTGCTTCCACCAATATGTTTTGTTTCATCGTCACCTTCTAGAAAGACAGAAATTGAATTGATTGACTTGTTTTGTTGACCCAAGGGCCTCATCTGGTCAATGGAAAATTGAATTTGCACAACTCGGTTAAACGAAAACTGATTGAAGACAAAGGCAGCGCCATCGACAAACGGCTCAGGTACAATGTGCGACAGAACGAGGGCAACAGTCGGTTCAGGGACATCGTGGTGAGGAAAGAGGAAGGCTTCACTCATGTGCTTCTGTCCAGCCAGACCACAGACAACAACGCTCTGACGCCTGAGGTGAGCAGTTGTGTGTGCTTCAACTTATTTTTGTCACATCCTATTCTTCCTTATGTAGAGATACTTTTTTCATTGAGAATTAATGTTGATTAGATTACACTTGAATTTAACTTTTTCCTGGGCCAATCTACAGTCTCTCTTAGTCATTATTCAAAAAGGTATGCAATATTGTTGGCCTCGAAATTACTTTCAGACAAAACTTCAAGCTTCCTCACTGTTTACAAAAGATGTTTCAAACTAGAGAATGTAGCTACAGCCTCAGAGGAACTGATCTGCTACAAAAACCCAGGGCAAAGAGTAATACTAAGAGGAGATGTGTATCAGTCAAAGGATTTGATCCATGGAACAGTCTATTCAATTTGAGGGCTCTAGAACTATTAAAACCTTTTTTTTTTTTAAGTATAAGTCTAACATTATGGAGAAGTACAGAACAATTGAGTTGGATTATGCTTAATAACTTGATTATGGAATTTTAAGTTTTGTGTAACATGTTACTATTGTTGGCATATGAGAAACTTTATATTGTGTCATCTATAATTTTGATCATGTAAAACATATGTTTGATTTGTCAAAGTTTAAGTTTCTGTGCTTCATGTTACCATCGTTGGTAAATGAGGAACTGCTAATTGTGTAATCTAAAATTTTGATCAGGTTTAGCATAATTTTGATTTGTAGAAGTTTAAGTTTTGTGCTACATGTTACCATCGTTGGTATATGAGAAACTGTATAATTTGCCATCTTTGGACATATTGTAATAGGGGTTAGGCAGTATAAGTCTTGACTTCAGCCTAAACCCTTTCGGTCAGGCATTGTTTCGCACAAGGTACTTAATGGACACATTGTGGTTCCTTATATTTTATATATATATATATATATATATATATATATAATACAGTGCCTTGCGAAAGTATTCGGCCCCGTTGAACCTTTCAACATTTCGCCACATTTCAGGCTTCAAACATAAAGATATAAAAATTTAATTTTTTGTCAAGAATCAACAACAAGTGGGACACAATCGTGAAGTGGAACGACATTTATTGGATAATTTAAACTTTTTTAACAAATAAAAAACTGAAAAGTGGGGCGTGCAATATTATTCGGCCCCCTTAATAATACTTTGTAGCGCCACCTTTTGCTGCAATTACAGCTGCAAGTCCATCCATCCATCCATCCATTATCTACCCTTTAATCCATTTCTGGGTCAGGGGGGTGGCAATCATAGATGCCACCCAAGTCTCATAGCACCAGCCCCTCACTGACCTTCTGCAGGTGGTGAGTCCACAGGAGGACGGCTGCTCTCTGAGTCTGAGCATAGCCTTGATCTTTCAGTGGGGGCTTTGGGCAAAGTGGGGTTAAGTGTCTTGCCCAAGGACACAACGACAGCAGTCATCAGTGGGAGTCGGTGGAGAAGGTGCAGAGGTGGGAATTGAACCCACGACCTTCTGGCCTTAAGGCCAATGCTCTACCAACTGAGCTACTCTCACCCCGCTTGGGGTATATCTCTATCAGTTTTGCTCATCGAGAGACTGGACTTCTTTCCCATTCTTCCTTGCAAAACAGCTCGAGCTCAGTGAGGTTGGATGGAGAGCGTTTGTGAACAGCAGTCTTCAGCTCTTTCCACAGATTCTCGATTGGATTCAGGTCTGGACTTTGACTTGGCCATTCTAACACCTGGATACGTCTATTTGTGAACCATTCCATTGTAGATTTGGCTTTATGTTTTGGATCATTGTCCTGTTGGAAGATAAATCTCCGTCCCAGTCTCAGGCCTTTTGCAGACTCCAACAGGTTTTCTTCCAGGATGGTCCTGTATTTGGCTCCATCCATCTTCCCATCAATTTTAGCCATCTTCCCTGTCCCTGCTGAAGAAAAGCAGGCCCAAACCATGATGCTGCCACCACCATGTTTGACAGTGGGGATGGTGTGTTCAGGGTGATGAGCTGTGTTGCTTTTACGCCAAACATATCGTTTTGCATTGTGGACAAAAAGTTCGATTTTGGTTTCATCTGACCAGAGCACCTTCTTCCACATGTTTGGTGTGTCTCCCAGGTGGCTTGTGGCAAACTTTAAACAAGACTTTTTATGGATATCTTTGAGAAATGGCTTTCTTCTTGCCACTCTTCCATAAAGGCCAGATTTGTGCAGTGCACGACTGATTGTTGTCCTAAGGACAGACTCTCCCACCTCAGCTGTAGTTATCTGCAGTTCATCCAGAGTGATCATGGGCCTCTTGGCTGCATCTCTGATCAGTCTTCTCCTTGTTTGAGATGAAAGTTTGGAGGGACGGCCGGGTCCTGGTAGATTTGCAGTGGTCTGATACTCCTTCCATTTCAATATAACTGCTTGCACAGTGCTCCTTGAGATATTTAAAGCTTGGGAAATCTTTTTGTATCCAAATCCGGCTTTAAACTTCTCCACAACAGTATCTCGGACCTGCCTGGTGTGTTCCTTTGTCTTCATGGCTCTCTCTGCGCTTTAAACAGAACCCTGAGACTATCAAAGAGCAGGTGCATTTATACGGAGACTTGATTACACACAGGTGCATTCTATTTATCATCATCAGTCATTTAGGACAACATTGGATCATTCAAAGATCCTCACTGAACTTCTGGAGTGAGTTTGCTGCACTGAAAGTAAAGGGGCTGAATAATATTGCACGCCCCACTTTTCAGTTTTCTATTTGTTAAAAAAGTTTAAATTATCCAATAAATTTCGTTCCACTTCACGATTGTGTCCCACTTGTCGTTGATTCATGACAAAAAATTAAAATTTTATATCTTTATGTTTGAAGCCTTAAATGTGGCGAAAGGTTCAAGGGGGCCGAATACTTTCGCAAGGCACTGTATATATAAAAATATTTTTTTTATATATATTTTTTTTTCTTGTTGTAAAAAGTATATGTGACCTGAGATCTGGTGTACATATTGGCCGAAGAAAAAATAAACTAACTAACATAAGAATAAAATGGTATAAATAGTCTAGAAATGTATATAGATAGTCTTTAGATTATCTAAGACTATGTATATAAATGTGTTCCAATTATTGTGGGATCACACTCCTCAGCCTCGTCTTTAAGGCCAGTAGTAGAGTCTCATATTCAGGAGGAACAGTGCTCTATAGACTAGCACTATGCCCTTAATTGGGAAAGAAAATCTAGTTTTCCATCCTTGTGTGTCTTCCAGATCATGAAGGAGTTGTGCCGGGCTCTGGGCAGTGCAGCTGCAGATGACAGTAAGCTGTTACTGCTCAGTTCTGTCGGCACAGTGTTCTGCAGCGGACTGGAGCCCTCCTACCTGATTGGCCGTTTGTCAACTGATCGCAGGAAAGAGAGCTGTCGCATTGCTGAGGCTGTACGGTAAGACAACCTTTGACACTCAGAACCTTTAAAAATAATACTGATTATATTGGGGTTTTTTCTTAGAGAGTTTGTGTTGGCATTTATACACTTTAAGAAGCCAATTGTAGTAGCCATAAATGGCCCAGCACTGGGCTTGGGGGCTTCCATATTACCCCTCTGCGACGTGGTGTGGGCGAGTGAGAGAGCCTGGTTTCAAACTCCATGCGCTGCCCTGCACCTCACTCCCTCTGGTTGCTCATCATACACATTTCCTCAAATCCTAGGGGTAGCTCTGGTAAGTCCCTGTCACAATACATTGATAAGATGGACACTATGAAAAATAAGGATTAGTGATGTTTGTCTCCTCAATGACAGGCAAATGAGATGTTGTTCTGTGGAAGGAAGTTGACCGCTCAGGAGGCCTGCAGTCGAGGCTTGGTGTCACAAGTGTTCTGGCCCACCACATTTAACCAGGAGGTCATGCTACGAGTGAAGGAAATGGCCTCTTGTAATGCAGTAGTAAGTTGGCATGGCTTGTAACATACACATACGATCTCCTCATGACTCCAACCTATTCTCTCAAACGTCTGCTGTCATTGTGTCTTTGGGCAAGACACTTTCCCCACTTTGCCTATAAGGAGTGCAGAAGTAGAAGTGTGCTGCATGCCTTGATGTGTATTCATTCAACTGAAATAAAGGACCATCTTACCTTATATTAAACGTAATCACTCCAAATTAATCTTTTTGAGAAACCTTTGGAGAACAAGTGGGGGATTCTTTCTGAATCTGATGCTCTATAGTTTTGGCCTCTTATGACTTATTTACTCCGTACAGAAAAATGTCAAACTGTAAAGGCTGGTGTCTGGGTAATAATTATCCTCTCACAATTATCCCTGTATTAAAGTATTTTAGCAATGTAGTTTATTTGGAGTTCAAACTTTTCATCCTTCCTACCAGGATGGAAAAAAGGTAAAATGCAGGTTTCCCATGTACATTGGCTCCTTAATTTCAAATTATATCTTCATCTTTAATCTTGGGGTTGCATCTTTAGTGATGGGGTCGCTGTATCGGACCGTTGTGGTGAAGAGGGAGCTGAGCCGAAAGGCAAAGCTCTCGATTGACCGGTCAATTTTCATTCCCTCCCTCACCTATGGTCATGAGCTTTGGGTAATGACCGAAAGAACGAGATCGCGGATACAAGCGGTCAAAATGAGCTTCCTCTGCTGAGTGGCTGGGTGAGGAGCTCGGAGTAGAGCTGCTGCTTCTCCACGTCGAGAGGAACCAGTTGAGGTGGCTCTGTTCCAAGAGACCCCAGGGAAGACCTAGGACACGCTGGAGGGACTGTGTCTCTCAGCTGGCCTGGGAGCACCTTGGGGTCCCCCCGGACGTGTTGGAGAAGTGTGTGTGGACAGGGGAGTCTGGGCGTCTCTGCTTAGACTGCTGCCCCGTAGACGCGAAAAGCGGAAGAAAATGGAAGGATTCATCTTTTTTCTGTCCCCAGATGGTCATATTAGGTCAACATGTACAAATCATATTTTAACAAATCGTCACAGATCATTCAGTTTGTACCGTTTCTGGCTAAACCCCTAGTAGGTGGTTTACATCAGTAATTGATGCTTAGGAGCAAGAATTTTAATGACTTTTAGACCATGAGACGGCAAATAAAGTGTGGCTTTTTTATTTGTTCATTTTTAGGTCTTAGAAGAATCAAAATGCCTTGTTCGGGGAATAATCATCTCAATTTTGGAGGAGGTGAATGTGAAGGAGTGTCAGATGCTGAGGCAGCTCTGGTGCTCCACCAAAGGTCTGGAGACACTGTTCAGTTACCTTCATAGCAAGTCTTACGACAAATGAGTGCTACTGCATAAACAAAGCTAATGCTGTGATAATCTAATGTTGAAGGTTGCAGTTATATTTATTATTCTCAAAATACATAATAGATTATTTAAATGGCAGGGATCAGTCAAAGCACATTAGAAAAATACAGAATTTATTTGTGTATTTATATTTAAAAATACTGAAATATTTTGGTAGTCTTTTTAAGGTGAAGATATCTGCTTCTTAATCATTCCAGAGATTCTTGCTAAAGAAACCTCTTCTATTCACTGGTTGCTAATAACTTGCAGCTTACTTATTTATACAGAATCATCCTTGATTAATGTTGTGTGCTCATTAGTTCTTAAGGGTATTTTGCAAGAGTGTAATAGTATTCATTGTCATATTATAATACAATGCAGTATACTAAGCTTGTCCTGAACTGTGAGGTTTGAATCAAAGGAAAATTAATTAAATATAATTTATTTAGATTTAATATATAATGAAAAACGATGGTTTGGAATATGTTGCTTAAATGTACAATAACTCATTTGGATATGGTTTGTATTTTTGTTTTCAAAACTGGAAATGTAGTGTAATGTATGTAATGTATTGTAATTGTCTCTTTGGTCCTTGTCTGCATGTGACACATGCTGTAAAGAATCCTAGTGTGCTACACTCACACAGTAATGAGTGTCTATGTGAATGTTGTAAAAGTGCATGTGTATATGTTGTAATATACTGTACATATACATGTATGTTTTGTACCAGCATTGTAATTATGGTAGAGATCTTGCAAGTTATTTTTCTATTTATTTAAGACTTTGAATATGCAGTGCCATGTGCTTTGGGTTTGCTTTACTTCAGAGGACCCCTACAACTGTCAAGCTTTCTTGGCCAGTATTCTGGCAGTATAACAGGACAGGAGTCAATGCAACTCTCATAATGTAATCCATCAACAGAAATATCAAGTGTGTTCAAGCCCAAGCTTTTGTGCTCAAGAGGCATTTGCTTTATTAAACATCTAAAGTTTTTCTTACTCAGGTATGTATGAATGATCACACGTCAGAATTATTTCATTATTTATTTGATGATGACCCAGACAGTTAACACTGTCAAGAGTAGGTCAAAGACACCAAACATTTGCATGTGTTTAATGTGTTTGTATAAACTTGTGATAATTTAAGGCATGTTTATTGCCATCAACACATGTCGTTGTTGGTCTTTTCCTGGTCCAGAATCTTTGTGCCTTACATATGTTGGTAATGATCCATATATTGCTGGAGTAAATTACATTCAATAAAATTGCAGTCCTTTCCCAATGTACTTTTGTCTTCAATGCATTAAACTCTATTAAATAAAATGACAACATTTAGGAACATCTAGTCATAACATTAAAGAATCTTCTTTCATCCATCGACGTGCAGCTTTTCATGTGCAGAGCAATTTTAAGAAGTTGAAACTTTTTCTCTTGATGCTTCCTTTATCCTTTTTTTCATTTCCAGTGCATGTTGCTTGCTGCGTTCTCTTTTGTCAAGACGCTGAGACAAGAAGTTGTTAGTTACAATTGGAAGTCATTTTATGTTTTTACAACAGCCCGCTGAATGTCTCACCTCCTTCTTTAGGCAGTCACGCATGGCACGATCAAAATCATTGCATTCCCCAAAAAATTTCTTAAGATTATGCTAGAAGAAGAAAATAATTAGAGATACACTTTACACAAACAGAGCTTTGCCTATTTAACTATACCTCCTGGTGGCACTTTTTGAGCTGAGTAATTATTGAATTGCACTCCTCTGTGTGCAGGTGAGGTGACAGATCTGTGTGCATGATGAGTTAAGGGCCAATTATACCTATGCAGAAAAAAGCTTGACATTAGTGGAGCTCAGGCCCCATGAAACTACAAAATATGTACAACTGAAGATTAGAGGGACAAATTCTCCACGTGGACATCTTGTGGTAACAGAACTGTTGTGATTTTAGGGGTCAACAAAAAACTGATAAAAGGAATGGACTACTTTTCCATACAAAGTTGGAAACTGGTCTTGGTAAAATTAGATGCATGAACTTTTCTGGTATGGAACAATTCATGGACAAAGATCCGCTGGCTGCGTCTGAATTCAACAACAAAACTTCCTTGTGCTTTAAAATGTACCTTAAAGATGTTTTTATTTCTACATAGGTGAAACTTTATACCACAAAAGTTATTGGAAATAACTTTTGTGGTATAAAGAAAGAACGATAAGGAAGTTGTTTTTACATAATCTGATGTCGGGTCTGTTCTGTGTTACAGTACCATCTGTCAAGGAACCTGTTTAAAACCTGTGAGATGACGGTTCTTGATTTGTCACGCTACACATTTCATTTATCATGAACCAGTTGCCGCAGTTTGAAACAAGGATTTTAATTAAGTATTGACTGCTTGGTTATAACCATCATTACTAAACATTGTGTTAATTAATTTTAACTTGCATAATATGTGTATATTTGCATTATAATAACAGTCTCTCCTTTCATGGAACACCCACTTTAATTGCCTGAATTAGGTGATCTCCACATTACAAGTTCTTTTTTTCGCCAAATATGGATTTCCCCATCAGCCCTGGCAGAAGATTAAAAGGGGCTCCTTCTTCAATCAGCATTTCAAGTGAATACATGATACCTCCAAATTCACATCTCCTCCTTGCAGCGTGTTCACATTATTCCACTAAAATAATTTTAAAATATGCTTTTTGACACCCAAAAATGCTTCACATGGCATTCATTCCGTTCACTACTACTGAACTGTACTGTGCTCAGCTCTATGCTGCATGTACTAATAATTGTGGGTCTTCTGACCAAACCAATTGAATCAACAACCTTCAGGTTAAGAACCATTGCATTAAAGTAAAGGTATCTTAAGGATACTAGAGCCACCATATCCCTCTCCATCCTGAACGCTCATTTTGTTGGTTATGGTAATTTCTCCACTGGGAACTTACCTGAAAAGACAAAAAGGGACACAAGACAAATTGTCAATAAAACGGGCCACAATAGATTATACAATTAAATGCATCAATCAGTAGACACAAAAGTAGAAAGAGTCAATTCCTTGTACATGAATACTTACCGGTAAATGTTATGTCATTGAAAACAGATCACTTAAATGGGACCCCCTGTAAACGAGATACAGACGCACGACGAATCGTTCGGAGACTCCAAAATTATACAAGCAATAAATCCAACCACTAACGCAACCTCACGGATGTCTAAATCGTCAGTAAGGTCGATGGCAATATCATAGTTGTCAGTGTTGTTGTTCAGAGTCCTGACCATGAGCTGTCCACGGGTCTGTCTTACCAAAGAGTACATGAAGCGCATGCGCACAAGGCATCAGGCTAATTACTGCGACCAATGGCCGGAGCTGTTTTCAAAGTAGGCGGAGCTTCATTTCCAACATTAACCATCATAATTCTTACATTACATAAAATACTTTATATAATGTCGCAGGTATTTTAATATTCTCAAACAAATTACTTGCAGAAATGTTTAAGAACGATATCATATGTAGGCGTTCTTATCACTTTATTGTGAAGATAACGGAAGTTTTGACAATGACCTGCCTGATATACTTCCGGGGTGGATGTCAATGTGGACGATGGCATCGCAAAACGAGCAAAAGACTGGCCTTGAGGGCTTTACATGTCAGTAAATGTAACGCTGTTGTTGGTAAGGCATTGGAGTGGATTATTTTACAATGAAAATGTCTGCATTTAAGATCAGTGAAGTAGAAAAGCGAACGTACGAGTTTGCAAACAACCAAACAGATCTCCAGAATGTGTCGCAGTCTCGTGAAATGATAAAGCCTTCGGTCACAGACTTGTCTAAAGAGGTGCGAACCAACATCCTCTGCACAGTGGAAGGATGCGGGAAGATCCTCCCCAACACGCCTGCTCTCAACATGCATCTGGTCAAATCCCACAGAGTCAAGGTAAGTGTGAACGGAGTCAAATCATCTGGTTACGTCTCTACGATGGCGATGCAAACTACTTCAACCATTACCAACATATATGGACGATGCTTTTGTTTTTCTATCGGCTCCTTTTTGGAACTAGCTAAATTTGTGTGTAATGCATTTTTATTCATTTTTTTGTCTTACGGTCAGTTGTTGCCATGTAAATGTTATACCCAGAATAATATATATTTATCTTTTAGTAGTAACAATAATCATTTGTATACCCTTAGGATGGCATTGTTAACCCTACTGTAAAAAAAGACGTGAAGGGCTCACAGAAACTTTACTGTTGTCCAATTGACGGTTGTCCCAGAGGACCAAGCAGACCATTTTCACAATTCTCTTTAGTGAAGCAAGTAAGTATGTTCTAGTCATTGGACGTTTGCATTTTGATGGGCATTGTTCATATTTATTTGTTGCCTTGTTATATTGTTTGTTTGTTTTTGTTTTTTGTTTTTTCACAGCATTTCATGAAGATGCATGCAGAGAAGAAACACAAGTGCTCCAAGTGTAACAATGGCTACAGCACAGAATGGGACTTAAAGAGGCACATTGAAGATTGTGGAAAGACATACCAGTGCACGTGTGGCTGTCCTTACGCCAGTAGAGCTGCACTCCTCTCTCATGTCTACAGAACGGGACACGAAATTCCGACAGAACACAGGCATGTACAAGGCACTTCATGCAGCTGTACTTATACAATACTTATTGTATTTATGGATGTATTGATTATTTTAATTCTTCTTTACAGATTCCCCCCAGTTAAGAAAAGAAAAATGGAGAGAGAGCTGAATGTGTTTAAGAAGGTCAAAGAGGTTTCACAAATAATTCCAGCATTTGGGGAAGTGACAGAAGGCTCTAACTGTCATGATCCCAGCCATTCATCAGATACAGCATATAAGAAATTACATTCTCAAAAGTTACTTTTGCCTAAACCAAAAATGGCTTTGGTTAGTGTTCCGGTCATGCAATTGACACACCTGCCAGTTCTCCTCCCATCTTCAGAAAATGGAGCTTTAAGACCTCTTGTGTTTGCTATTGATAACCAAGGATCAGTTGGTACTTTTCACCTGGTACCTCAAAGCACTGGAGGAATGAAGGAAACTATGACCGCTTCCAATTCTTACAAAAACCCCATAAGCATAGGGGTACAGGTCAGTTTGGATCCTCCCGTGGTGGAAGAGTGTACAATGCGAGGAAAAAGCATGTCCACTAACATACAGACTGATCAGTCATACTTGTCAAAAGTGCCTTCAACGTTGACTGAAACAATGACTGTTTATTCTGTTGCCGAATCGTCGGTATCTTCCTGCTCACAGACAGACATCAGTGTTAGTACTCAAGTGCTTCTGCCTGTCAGTGTTGAAACTCAAACCTCCTTAAAAGCCAAATGTAAGGCCTCTATTGCAGCACAAACAGAAAACCAGGCTTTGTGTCAGATGTCCTGTTCCTCGTCTTTGGTGACTGCATCCAAAACTAGACAGACGCAGACTTGTACTTTGACAGCACATTCTGAGAACAAGTCTCAGAACCTAGCTTCCATAAGTCCTGACCCGTTCATCGACAACAGCCTCAGTGTTTCTACCCAGACGACAGTAATGGAGCTGGATGCACTGAATTCAGTAGGGAGCTGTATTTATGGGGACATGAAGTCTGCAGGTTCAATGTGTTTTGCTGTGCAGACCGAAGACCTTAACCATAATGTGGCAGACAACCAAACCCAGACAATGTATTTGCTGAATGACTTGGAAAATATTTTATCTGACAGCATGTCCGGCCACCAGGTACTTACAGAGACATCAGAAGGATGTGGGGCTGGTCTCAGCTCTGTTCAGGAGCAACACAACACCATAGACTTTGACTTTGAGGACTTTCTCAGTGCAGTGCATATTCAGACCCAAACAGAGGAAAGTGAGTTTGGGGTACTGGGGAGTGACACGCATCTTGAGTCTTTAGACATCCAAACTCAAACAGACTTCCTTCTTATAGATGAACTGAGTCAAAATGCAGGACCAAATCGAAATCAAGACCTTGAATTATTTGATACCCAAACCCAGACAGATCTTAATTTTTTGCTCAATACAGGGAGCCATGTGCCGCTTGGCAGTATATTACGACATTCTAGTTTCTCTATGAGCACTGAATCCTCAGATACTGAAACTCAGACAGATGTTCCAACTTTCCCTTCAACTTTTTCTGCTCAAACTGCCCTTTCTGTTAATCAAGGGGACAGTGCTCGGTTACTGAGTAGCACAGAGACACAGACTGTGACCAGCCAGACAGACGGCCTAGGCCAGCTCTTTCTCATCAGTAATGAGACACAAACTGTCATGGATGACTTCCTGTCAGCAGACTTGGCGTGGAATATGGAGTCTCACTTCAGTTCAGTAGAAACACAGACATGCAAGCATCTTAGTGCTCTCTTTCCACAGCAGCAGAAGCCCAACAGTTGAAGATGCCCTAGACCGATTTCCCCTTCATTTGATGAATAAGCTGAGGCTTACATTGATTGATTGATATGTGAAAAGTCTATGAACATATTGCAGGCATTCCCCTAGACCATGCACTTTATAGCGTGTAGGATATGACCTAATAACATTTTATATTTGTTTGCACATAAGCTTGAATGTTTTTTGTTTTTTTACATGATTTAATTTGATTGAATCACACTGTTGTGTGGAAGCATTTTTGCATTTCTATTTAATGGTCTTAAATTGAAGGAAAGAATTTCATATTACATGAATTTTGATTTAAGGGCATTGAATGCATATGATTTATGGTTTCAGACATTTTTCTTTGTTTCCAAGTGTTATTGCGATGAGCTTGAACCAGCCCTACAGAATGCAGATAATTTTGCTACCAGAAGTTGCCTCTTGAATGCTGCATTATTGAAAGCGGCAGGACTGCACATTGAATGAACAATATAAGCTGAGCATTAGCTGTGCTATATGGCACAATGAAACTGTCTACGGTGTCTTGTCCTGTTCCTGTGCAGACTTTTGATGTGTCTTAATGTCTGTTTAAATCAATTCCTTAACAATTGTAGTACAATAGAAGTCCAGTAATAGTTCTGCTTGGCACAATTTTGAATATTATTGACTAAAGGCTATATTTGTGTAATAGTTTCAGTTTGCTTTTGTAATTGGTTTGTGTGCGTGTGCATGATCTTTGCACTACTTTACCTCAAAGCACACCTTACAAACTACTTATCCAAGTCATAAGCATAGGCCTTGATAGTTTTTTAAAGTTTTATGTTTGTGCCTTACTTGTCATTCCCCTGCTTAAATGTAAAGAATAAATTGATTCAATGTACAAACTATTTTACTTGAACTTAGTTTGACTAAAAAGTACTGAACTTTTGTCTGTCTGCTAATCCCCAGCTAAAGGGATGTAATCTGATTGTTACTTTGAACCTGCAATTATTGACGTCCAACAAGTTCAAGAAAGTTATTGGTAGAATTATATTTGACTTCAGAGGTGAAGCTGATGTGTGAAGCACAAGCCTGAAGTTGTCTGAAAACACACATTTGCCTCAAAATGATGAAATTGTATGGGTATAAAAGTTTATTCTGTGGTTAATAAAAACAAAAAAGCACTTTTTATCTGTATAAGTGCATGTGTGTTGACTATTAGTCCGGTTAATGTGAACTGCTTGGATTATTTGTGATGTACTGCAGATGTCACAAATAAATAATGCTGGTGTAAGTTGTGTATGGCCTGTTATTGTTTTGTTCCACCATTTATTGTATTCACTTTTACTCTTAAAAATAAAGATTTTTCTTTATTTTCTTTACAAATTCTGAATATGTTATCAACATGCAGACCTTACGAAAGAAAGTAGTGATCAGTCATGCAGAATACCTTGCTCCAACAAATCCTCTATTTATTAGACATAATATCTTAAAATGGTGTGATCTTGTTGATGTTGTACAAGGCTCACAACTTCATGCTTCCTCACTGTTCACAAGAGATCTTTCATACTAGAGAATGTAGCTACCCAGGACAAAGAGGTGTGTATCAGTCAAAGGAGTTGAAAAGTCTACCTATTCAGCTTAAGGGCTCTAGAACTATTAAAACCGTTTATAAAAGTATAAGTCAAATATTATGGAGAAGTTTAGAACAATCGAATTGGATTATGCTCGATAACTCTTAATTATGGTGTTTAAGTTTTGTGCAACATGTTACCATTTTTGGTATATGAGAAACAGCATATTGTGTATCTATAATTTTGATTATTTGACTTTTCTCATATATGATTACATAATTTGTCATCTTTGGACGTATTGGGGTTAGGCAGTATGAGTTTTGACTTCAGCCTAAACCCCTTTCGTTCAGGCATTGTTTCGCACAAAGTCCTTAATGGACACATTTTGGTTCTTGTTAAGTCTTTTAGTAAAACGTATGTGATCTCTGAAAACGTGTGGCCTGAGATCTGGTGTACATATCGGCCGAAGAAGATAAACTACTACTACTTGTTGACTGCATGAAGCTAATTATTCTTGCCAAACAACCAAATGTAGAACAGTGTGTGTGTGTCACAAAAAGATAGAATCACATGTAATTTCAACCATTTATTTCTCTGCAGATTTTTTCAAGACAAGGCTCATGAGCAGCTTGGGTGTATTTGAAGTGGCTTGTTTGCCGCAGTGCCGGAGCGAAGAGCCTTGCTCACAGAGTATCGAGGGTGCAATGTTTCAGGTTTGGAGGACACTGTTACATGATGCCTGTTTGGGACGGACACACTCACAGTGGAGTAATAGTGGGGGTCATGTTGGCATGTCCTGAACTTGGATGTAGTCTCAGTGTTGATGTCCTTGGGAAGTTCGGTAGTGTAAACCAGGTCACCCTTTGTTCCTCGGATCCTGCTTAGCTTATCAATAATGAAACAGTTTTCCATGTTAGATACACTTTGTTGATATTTGTTGAGGTTATGTTGATGTGGCATATTTATTATGGGTGGTAAAAAGGTAAGGTTTTTAATAGGAGCTAATGTGTAGTTGGTCTTAAAAAAGTTTGTTCGAGGCTTTTGTGACTTGCTATCTGCCAAAGCACATTTTGAGATGACTTGACGATGCGGAAAAGAAGTCCTAGGATCCCTTGTCTGATCTTCCAAAACAATCTGAGCCATGTTTTTACAAATGGCATCTCCAGAAGAAATTTCTGGAATTTGTGGTGATTGGTTTGATCCATTATGCTTGATACATGCCATTGTGTTGGTTGACCGTCTAGTTGAAGGCTGCAGTTTTGTGTCATTGGGTTGCTTCACTAAACGCACTGACTCTCCAGATGTGGAAGCATCATGCTCAATATCTTTGTGCTTTGGTCTGGGGCCAGTGTCCTCAGCCAGAAATAGGCCGGCATATGGGGCGACTCTTCTCCAGCCACACACCTGTAATGATTCATTTTAGTCATGTCAATCAATCATACAGCTAGCTTGAGTTAGCTAGCGCAGTGTTTTTTAACCAGTGTTCAGTGGCATGTTAGTGTGCCTTGAGATGTTTGATGTGAAATTATCCAATTATCCCTATTGGTAGAAATAATGTGGAAAAGAAAATATTGAAGGTTAGAAAATGTTTTGCGCCTGCTTGATTTCTATATAATACACATTTTAATGAGAATAACTTTGCATTGTTAAAGGTATATAGAAGGATTTTCCAAAATGTTAGGAAAGAACCGCCCTCTCCTCTTATTGAACAAAACTCTCTGGTCTTATTTGACGAGCACATATCACCAGAATGATTGAAAATCGGGAGGACCATTAGTCTTGATGATCCACCCGGAAGTAGAAAATCCTCCTGTATACCTTTAATAAAGGCTGCAGCGTTTCATGTTTGTATCAGTTTCAGCTGGTGGAGTGCCTCGTGATTGTTTTCAATAAAAATGTTGCTCAAAAATAAAGATGTTGCTCAAAAAGGTTGAGGAACTGATCATGAGCAAGAGAATCTGTGCAAAACAAATATTGTACTTACAGCTTCATCCCAACCCGGGGAACAGTGATACTCGTGTGGTTGCAGGTCTTTCTTGGTCTCTTCCTCACTTAAATCTAACAACACATTGACGTGTCTTCGGTCTGCTGATATGTCTGCCCTCCACGTGTTCTCATTGGACTGGTCAGCAGGGCCACACACCGTTTGCATTACTAATTCACACTTCGCCATTGTGTACAGGTGCTACTCTGGTCGAATATCTGTAGCTCTCGAAAAAGAGGTTTAACGACGACTTTGACCATACATATATTGCAACGATGTATACTCACGCATGTTAACGCTTCTCTTCGTTGTTTTGTCAACAACTGAGCAGCGAATTCCTATGCAGCGCGTCGTCATGACAACAGAGGCAGCGAAGCACGGCGTCCACATACGGGGCGGGGCCAATGAAGGAGTCCTGACGGCGTGCGTCCCTGACGTCCTTACGTCTGGTTGATTTTGGCTTTGCGCAGAGCGAGAGCATTTTTAAGAATGTATGCTCAGCCACTGTCATTTTTAACGTTAAACACGTACAATTTGAAGACATTGGTAATTGTAGGGTCGTATTTGTTTGCTTTTATTTTTAGTTGATATACTATGATACATAGTGCATCATTTACAGACGTAAATACATTCCTTTTGAAGAACAAAAAGCAGACACTTGCAGATGCATCGAAATATAATGCGGCTCGACGAGGAGACCATGTAATTACAATACTAACACAAGGCTTTACTTACACTAATCCTGGTCAAACAAAAGGAAGAGGAGAAAACACTGACGTGATTTGAGATGCTATATGATTCAAGATTTGTTTCGTTTTTTATTCTCTGAAATGTGTTAACATCGAGGGAGGTGGACACCATTGCAAGGTTGAGTTCTGCACGTACGACATTTGACGTCATGGACCTGACAGGGGCTGTTGAGGCATCAGAAGGGGAAGAACATCAACAGAGCTTTGCCAAATCTGCTCCAAATGAATAGAGCTACGTGCGATGGGGATGTCGTATGAATGAATTTGGAAACTATCAATCATAGAGGTGGATTGTACCGGTACCTGCAACAAGGTCTCATTTCACTGGCCCAGAGTCCGTGTGTGTCTGTGAGTGACGCGCTCTGGGACCCTATCCGCGTTTTCAACACTGATCTCAGCGCGACTGAGCGCTGACTTGCCGGGTGCTCACGACCACTTGACTTCTGCAGTGCGGGGACTATTGCGTTTTATGGAAGGGGAGTCCGTGCACTCATTTGTGGTCATGCTGCCTCCAAAGAACTGCCTGCCAAGGAACTACAGCTGCATTGCGGGACTCTTTGGTAGCCTGACAGCAGAAAACCCGCGTCTTGAAGAAGGGGAAGATTTTGACGTGATAAACATCACTTGTGAGCCTGTCGAGTGCCCCGTGGTGGACGAAAGGCCACGGGGCAGGGAGATCCATCTGAAGCCGGCACAGAGTCCCACACTGCGGCGGAGATGCAAGTCGCTCCCCACGCCCACCGAGAGAACAAAGTTAGAGGTCTCTCGCAGCAGAAGTCCAACCAGCCAGAAGAAAGTCCGTTTTGCCGACTCTTTGGGGTTGGAGCTCATCTCTATCAGGCATTTCGATGATGCGGATGAACCTGATGTGCCAGAGCGCATTCTCGCTAAACTACACAAAGGCACGATGCACCTGAACCACTTAGACACGAAGTTCCCAAAACCCGTTACGCATGCCATGTTTATGGAGTTGGAGTTCAAGAATCCTGGCACTCTCCCTGATTATGAGGAGAAAGTGCGAGAGGTGAAGGTCTTACTGGAGTCTGTGGAGGCAGATGAATTCAGCTTGTCTGGTTTTGTTCGTGTTTTAAACTTGGCCTTTGAAAAGAGTGTGTCCCTACGCTACTCACTCAATAATTGGATTTCGTTCATGGACAGTTTGGCTTCATACGTTCCCAACTCGAGCAACGGCGTCACTGATAAATTTTCATTCAAAATTGTTATGCCCACCTACCTGGACAACGGAGGCACGCTGCAGTTTGCTATTAAATACTGTGTTGGGGGGCAGGAATACTGGGATAATAATAATGGAAACAATTATAAGGTGCGACCACGTCGTTTGAAGATGTCTCCTCCCCGCGAATGGGAGAATGGATGGATACATTTTATCTAAATTCTTTCCATAGCCTTCCCGGTAGCCCAAGTGTCAATGTTAGCAGCCCAACTGCTATATGTTAGGCTTATTGGTGTGATTTGATCTAATTCTGTCTTTAGTTGTCAGGGTGCAGCGTTAGAAGTGTTCATACTTTTCCTTGGTGATGTGGTCCTATGCTGTGCACTCGATGCACTTTGGGGGGCATGTTCACATTATGTAATGTGGATACACGTGCCCAGGAATACGTAGCAGACACGAAACAACCACTGGCATCACTCTGATTTGTTTGACATCCAACTCTGTCAGCGCATTGGCACATGCCCTGATCGATGTATGACTTTAGGGAACGTTTTTTTATAGAACACTGTCTATTCTGTGAAACCAGGTATACTTACACGCTAAACAACATTTAGTTTCATGTTCGGGTTATAATTATTTTTGTTCAATATCCACAGTAGCCTTATGTTTTCCAATGCCTCAGGACGGGTGCAGTGCAAGAGCAAAAACACCATTATTTGGTCTGTCACTTTATTTACTCTAAATGTTACATTTTCAGAAAGCATACAGCTCTTCCCTTGCATGCAAAGACCTCATCATGTGCCCTTTTTAGATGTAGGTATAACTGCAGTTGAATGGATTGAATGTATGAACCTACTAAACTGTTATTTCTTGACCGCGTCTATCACTGTCAAATCCATGTTTTGAAATGGACCTGGTTTTATGATTATAGTTTTATCTTCTTGTGATGTGATTTTAATGGCAAAACATGCAGTCATAGTGGATTTATTAATGTGGACATTGATCAGTTTAATTTGTTATACTATTCACTGTGCAATACTAGTTCAGAGACACATTTTATAGGCAGAAGTGCAGAGTGCATCTGCCAGCTGATATTCCAATCCTATACACTGTGTTTGTCGATTCTGAGCTTGTAAAACATGTCCCATTCTGTTTCTGATGCAACACCTCTCTATGTTTTGACCACTATGCCATGTTGCATCAAGGAGCACTGTATAAAATGTGTGTCAACATTTATATGTTTCATCTAAATGTCTTATTGTTAGTCTATTATTACTATATTATGTGTTGTGTATTCTTTAATGGAAATGGAAAGTTAACGAGAAGTGTCTAGGAAGGGGAAATGAAGTTCAACTGAAAAAGCACAGTGTTTGTTTGGCTGAGAGTGAACATTTTCCCAGCAGTGAATTTTGTGGATTATGTATGTCGTCAAATGTTAGTAAATCAATGTATTTGAATATAGTCTAATTTAGGGCTATGCATACTTGTTTACTGACTATTTAACTTGGCGCACTATTGCTTATTCAAAAATATGACTATTGATTGTAGCAGACTGCTTTGGCATGGGGAAAAGCAGGTTTAAGCACCTTAAGAGAAGGATGGAAATGACAAAGGAAGGACACTTCAAAGCCTATAACCAACAAGGACATCCATTCTTTTTTCATTGTGAGAAGCTCCTGAAATACTCTCGTATGAGTTATTGTACTAGCATGAAAATGTTGAAGATTTGTTTTAGATTGGACTGTATAATATATTTTATGAAACCACCATTAAATAAAAGCATTTATAATCAATTCTGCCTCCAACCATGATGCTAGGAATTGGTTCAAACCGGTGTACAGAGAACATTATTCAATGAAAAACATAGATGTTTGTAATTCCTCATTCCTCTCTGATGTGTTATTTGGATTTTTATACAGCACGCAACGTTTTTAAGTCTATCTCTCAAGAACTTATTGAGCTTGTGTTTGTATATGGTCACAGTAGAAGCCTTGTTTACAATCCAAAGTCTTTATTCCCTGCTGCTGGCTCTGCTGCGCATGCTTTCAATGGTAGCTATAGGGGACTTGGCCGATGGTAAACAAGGGAGATCACCCTCACCGCCTCTGGGAATCACATTTAGCTTTGTCTGAAGATTGTCAATGTCACTAAAGCGGAATAGACAGCATGGTTTCCTTTTCTGTCCTTATAACAAGCACATCTTACACCTGCTGCATACAGAACGTTTGTGTGCATCCTTCAATAGATGCAATACTTGTATGCATACACCACATGCAGGATATGCCATTTATATCACACCACCTGGTGAGTTGTGGATTCACACATAGTTCTATAAATGTATACAGGGTGATAAATAAAAGAATCCTGACTCAGCACACCTCCTCATCACCTCTCCTTAGAGCTTCGGGCTGAATAATTAATCTGTTCATTGATCTTTCCAGAAAGTCGAAATTTGCTTTGCTACTTGAAGTGTTTACTATTGAGTTTTCGGTCTCCCATTGCTCCTTCTTGGCGTAGCTCACGGTCACAGTTTGATCTCATCTTTCCCAGCAATAATACATAAAATGGAGTAAAATTATTTGTTCATTAAAAGTGATAAGTCTTTGTTGGATAGATCAAGAGGGTTTGTTCATAGAAATTGTACAGAGCAGCAAACAAAACGTATTTAACCCTTTAAGGATCACCTAATTTCGCCTGCTCCTTCTCGAATTATGATACCCAAATGGAAATGCTTATTGTGTGGACATCTTGTGTCTGATTTTGTGTTATGAGGCCTCATTTGAAAGGTAAAACCTTCTAGTTTCTGAAAATGTATGTTACAGTTTGTTAGGAAGGACACAGTCTGCACTACAGCTTCTCAAACATGAGTCAAAGTTAGTTTTTTTTGTCTTGAAACAAAAAAGGCAATTTCAAAAGGTTCTTCTGAAGACATACTTTATGGTATGATGTTCAAACTCACCAGAGCAGATGTTTGTGGTGTTGGAAACACCTGTATGAAATTTTAGACCTTTAGGTGGAACTATTTTGATGCTGGGGGCTTTTTTGTAACTAATGGGCACATTCGGCACAAGTGGTCCATTTTTGTGCCAACTGTGCAAAAGTGTTTTACATGCAAATTATCAATGTTTTTACACCAAAAATCCATTTATATAATTTTTTGGCTATTACTCTTGCTATAAATAGCATTTTTTCCAGATATTGAAATGTTTGCAGAAATATATATATTTATATAGTTATAGCGCGTGTTCTCCGTGAAAAAGGCTCCGTCTTCCTCTTTACGCATTCAAATATGACGGGAACAGTGGGAGGAAGCTAGAAGTCCGACACATCGCCTGAAACCTGAGATTATTGGCTACAAGATGATTTGATTGACATCCAAATCGGCCAATGGTAGTCAAGACAATGCTGTCATGACGCACAGATATCTATGTGAATGGAGCGCTAAATCTAGGTGCGCTTGTTTTACTCAACTTACTCTACCTTCCAAACCATAGCACTGAAAAGTCCGGGAATGGGCTTGTTTTAAAGGGAAGACTGAGAGGAAGACGAACATACCCAGTGACGCTAGCTAAACAGTAAAATGTCCTCTTCATACAGTGCGCAAAGAACAGGTTTTATTTTTGTTTGTGCAACTTTCAATACTCAAATATGTTGTTGCAAGTGGATATCTACTATAAGGATGACTTTGAAGAAAAAACAACTGGATATAATTATTCTCTAGACCGTAACGAACAAAACAAATGCATACATGTGTGGATTAGACGTGATTTGCCCCAGAATATTAGCATGACAAGGTAAGAAACGACAATATATATTTTAAACATATATACAGTTTGACTACTTATTCTTACTTTTGGTTATATTTAATGTTTATTTGAACATAATACGTGTATAGAGGTGGGAATAAGCTTTCCAAAGAGATATAGCTTGACTATATTGACACAAGTGAATTCTAATACTGATGTTGTTAAATGAAAAATAACTGAATCCTCCCTGTACAGGGAGGGTGATCCTTAAGAGGTTAAAGCCTGATTATGTGCAAATGGAATGGAATTGTTTTTGGCTATAGATCCATGGAATCATGTCATGTGCTACCTCCAGGAAGTTACCAAATCTCCTCTGACAATATAAGTCTTGTAATACATTTTATTTACACTGTGCTTTTCACAGATCAGTGGTTTTTTGATCAATTTGATCAATTCCTGTGAATATAAATCTGTCTCAAGCAATTGCTTTTTTTTTTCATTTCGTATGAACATTTATTTATTGAACAGTTTTATGGCAATGGTTCCCCTATTCATAATAAGGAGAGAGAAAATTGCTCAAGGCAGGATTGTTTTTAATAACAGTTGCCTTTATGACTGCACTTTTTTATCCCCCAGGGACGTCCATGTGGTGAGAGGAGATAATCAGTGAGAAGAGAGCATCATTATGCCCAGGCTGACTGCTGCCACTCGAACAGATAAAAAAACCTTCATCTTTTAAAACCTATAGAGATACAATGAGACCATATCTTTGTATGAGTGCAACAGTGGCATTTTCATTACTCTAAATGAGATTGAATGCGTTCTAAAAATAAACGAAGATAGATGTGTTTATAAGAATGATGTTTCCTTGGGTGTATCAGTTCTTCCACATTTGGAGCGGTGGTGACCTTGGGTGATTGTTGTCGCGGACACCGTCACTTCCCCGTCACATGCTGCTCCATGTGGTCGCATCTCTGTGGAGCTGGGAGTGAATCAGCAAAACACCATGTTCATGTAAGGCATTCTGATGGCTCCACAGCTGTGTCCCTGGACATTGGATCATAATCTATGTTCAAAGAAATCCCTGTCAGCGCTTTGCATATTAATGATGATCAGGGTATAATCAGTGTAACATGAATCCCATGTCTCATCCTGTGTCACCCGGGATCTTGGGTCATCTCCTCCTGCACAGATACGGGAGAATATAACGATAGAGTTCATTAAATAATAATGGCGGTGCACTCAAAACACATTTCATTGGTGCATCTGGATTCCTGAGCTTCAGGTCTGGAGCAGAGCGAGTCTGGGGACACGAAGGGCACATGGAGGAAAGTGTGACCGTCACAGGCCTCTGTCAGCTCCAGTGAGCTCAGCTGCTCACCAGTGCCTCTCTATAATACTGCTCCATTCGGCATTCACGATTTCTTCTCAGCCCAGTTATAAATACAACAATGAAACATTACTGGCAGCAAA